GGGCGGGGAGGGGAGCGGCGGTAACCCCTCGTCCCTCTTTCCGTCCCTTCAGCTGGTGGCGTCTGCGGCGTTCCTCTGCTTCGTGGCCTCCCGCTCCCGCGGGGCGTACGCCGCGCTGGCCGGCATGGAGGTGGTCATCACGGCGCTGTTTTTTCTGCTGTACTTGTTAAAGCTCGATAAAAAGATGAGCTGGCTGTTCTGGCCGTTGGCTGTGAGTATGGGCTGGCCCTTAAAATGAAGTGGTTTTACCCCTTCTGTGGTTGCCTGTTCAGAGAGGTTGCGGGCGATCAGCTCCGTTACTGTTTCTGTCAAGTCCGCACAAAAACCAGCGTTTCGTTTTTGTTGAACCGGTTCTTCCTAACGGAGATGACAGGGTTGTTTCGCATCCATTTCTAAACAGCCGGCTCGTATCCGTTACAGCCCCTCCTGTCATGGGCATCATTTGCTTAACTCGGTAATGCTGTACTTTTCCTCTTTCACATCGCAAATTAAACTTACACCTTCACTGAAATACTAATGAGTTCTCCTCTTGCCTCCCCTTTTTAAGTTTATTTCCTGCTTTAGTCTATCAAGCGTAGCCAAGTTGCATAAATTTGACTGAAAAAAAAAAAGGTAAAATGAGGAAGTTTTATCACAAACGCCCTTTTTAACATCGAACCACTGGGTGTCACTATCGATCTTACATGGATATTAGTGTAATTCTATTTTCATAGTAAACCAGCGATTTTTAATGATTCATACAATATTGGGAGCTATTCACGTTCTTCTTCAGTCGTGTATTTCAGAAAAAATATTTTGCTTCCCCTGGCTGTTCAGGATATTTTCAACTCGGTGATTGCAGCGGTGTTCCTCCTCGTCGTGTGCCTGTTTGCAGTAATAATCAAGACCAACAACGGGACGCTGGCTGGAGGAGTAAGTAGGAACGTTACTGACGAATTTCAGTTCTTCAAGCGGACGCGATTTGGACCTCTCGGTATACTTACACTGTGGTGAGACCTTGAAGGTAACTCTGTCATGGAAGAACGTACTCAGCAGTCACAAGCAAAAATGAAAGCACATTCAGTGTATCTCCCTAAAAAAAGTAACCCTCAAACCACTAGTAATTTAAAGATATTACCGGACTTAGGAATCACTACAGAGAACTACTAACACTGAAAACTCCTAGAGCTTAACTGATTCGAGTAACCTGCATTTACTTCCATAGCTTGAAATCCTAGGTGGGAGAATCTGTAGCTCTTTTAGGACTATCCGGTTGGGTTACACTATTTAAGAAGAAATGCCTGTAATCCTGCTAAAAAGAGCTGAAACTTTTTAACAGGCATGCTGGTGCCTCCCTCCTGATGTGTGTATTATTTTTTCTGACACAAACTGAGAAATTATGGCGGTTGAAAAGGTTTTTTCATACTATGATTGTAAGATTTTTGTGTATTTAAGATCAAACCGGTTTAATAGTTTAAGCAACTGGTATTTTTAATTCAAATGAAAACTAACATAATTAACGTTAACAAAAAATAAGGGGGAAAAAACTCAGTTTTGAAAGTGTTTAAGTCTCCTGAAGTACAAGAGAAGCTAAAATGTGACAAGCAACCAGAAGGAACCCAGAACTTGCCACAGGAGTTTTTCAAAATCAGCTTAAGAGACCATGAGGTGGAAAGCTGATGTCTTTGCTGGCAACGACACCCTAAGCAAAAAGGAGACTTTCCAATAAAGTGACCGGCTACGCTAGAACGTAATATATATTCTCAGTTGTGAAGTTAATAGGAATTAAAGTTAGGTTGGAAGCAGGAGACCAAGCAGGTAGCTTGGAAAACAAGTTTGGACAGAACCTGTGACATCTTCAATGTTGGGAGAAAGAGGCCTGTACCCCTAGGGCAGAGACTGTCTCGAGCTGCGCTCTCCTGAAGGAGCTTGCCTTCGCGTTGCTCCCGCTGATCAGATAATTCCATTTTAAAACATGCTTGCATCAAAAAACTGGTGTGCGTGTGGGATCGGGCTGAAGGGCGAGAGCTGAGCAAGTTAACTTAGAGGTCGTTTGTTTTGCAAACCCATTTTTCCAGTTGCCTGCCTGGAGTTGTGTATTTTTTAAATAGTTATGTACATTTTCTTCCATTTGGAATACGTTTCCCGTTCAGAGCTTCGGAGGAGAGGAGCGCTATTTTTTTTCCTGCTAGGCTTGTTTCTACAAATGCTGACTTTTCTCCGGGCCAATACCATTAATTAGGCAGTCCTTAACGAGACAGAAGGCTTTTCATTTAGGATAAAAGCATTGTCTGGCATAATGCAGCATTAGCTTAGCTTTCACGGAGGACGCATTGTCTCCAACGCAAACATCAAACAGAGCCGGGGTGCAGACTGCCGTATGAAAGGCTGATGGGATTTAAATACGGATGTTATTTAATTTATCAGCTGTCTCACATCACACATATATTTAGGCGGCCAGAAGCAGCTTAGGAAGATGTGTTTACTGCGGCTTTGAGGAACAGTAGATGAGTTAGTGCAGTTAGATAGAGATTCTATGGGGAAACTAACAACATCATTCTTTTTACAGGTGTTCGGTCTTGTACTGCTTGTTCTTTCTGTTGTCGACGCGGTTCTTCTTTTCCAGAAGATTAGCCTTGATGGACCAAGAGGAAGGAATACTGCGAAATAAGACTACCATTTTAGTAAAAGAACGATTTCTCTATTGATTACTATTTTACAGTTCTCTTTTAAATAATTTGTGTGTTCACGTGTTCACCTTTGAATTTCCCATGCATTTATGTACATTTTTGCAAGTATTGTTCGTAAGTTTTCTTACATTTACAAATGGAGTTTCAGTGTTGCAGTTTCACCAGTATAAGCGTCACAGAAAATTGTCCTGTTTTTCTAAACTTAATCGCATTTTCACCTGTATGAAAATTAACTTCATAATTGTCTTCTTTCTGTAATAAAAAGAATTTACAAATAGGCCTAAGTGCATTATTGAACTTTATTTATTTATTTATTAAGTGCACTTGAAGTAAACATTACCTGATTTAACGTACCGATAAGCATCTTTAGGAACAGATTTTTTTCCACCCTTACTTGTGTTCCTCTTTCCATAGATCAGCGTCCTGGCCGATGGCTGTCTCGTGCCACGTGAACGCTTTATTGCTGTGAGACCTTTTGATCCCCAAATTTTCCTTTTTATGTTCAGGATGGTGCTGAAAATAACCAGGCTGCCTCCCTCGCGTAACGCAATCACGACTGTACTGCAGTGCAATGAAGACAGATAGTAGATAAAATTAAATTAGTATTGTAAGCCACATGAAATGCTTAAGCGGCTGTGAGGAGCGCCGCTGCAGCTGCACCTGTGCGCAGAGAGCCAAGGGTTGAAGTTCAGCGCCCTCCGAATGAGTCCCATTGTCCACACCGAAAAGCGAGCACCCCCGTGATGGAAGAGGGTTTCTAGACGAAAGTGAACAA